TTTAACAAATATTATACATTATTTGCTCATCCTTCAAAGATTACCCCATTTATAAAACTAAAAGTTTCAACATGTAGGAAAACTCACATTTAAAAATAAATAAATAAATAAATAATTTTAATAAATAGGAAATTTCCCTGGCATTTCTTTCTTTTTGCTGTATTGAAAACGTACCAAACCGTGACACCACTGTATCGTATCGAACCGAACCATGAATTTTGTGAACCGTTACACCCCTAATAGACAGACAAACGATGATATACAGATAGATGGATGGATGAATGGATGGATGGATGGATAAATAGATATCTGTCCATCTGTCGATCGCTCTATCGTTCTTTCGCTCCATCTATAATTCTATAATTTCCTGAGTCGGACTCCAGTCGGACTCTATTCAGTGTCGGTGAAGGACGAGTGAGTCTCATCCAGTGGCCGGAATATCACAGAGCTTTAGTGGCTCTCCTGACCAGCAAAAACACCTCAATTCCCATAGCAACAGCATAGCAATGCCTTCCACACACACACACACACACACACACACACACACACACACACACACACACACACACACACGCACACAGCACACGAGCACTGAACATGTAGAACCCGGTTTCTTACTCTCGCTTTATTTTTATTCAGACAGGCAGAGAGAGAGAGAGAGAGAGAGAGAGAGAGAGAGAGAGAGAGAGAGAGAGTCCATCCATCCATTTCCTGCATTCCATTGGTGTTTTGATTTATTTGTGCCTTTTCAATTACTATTTTTGTGTCAGTGTGTGTGTGTGTGTGTGTGTGTGTGTGTGTGTGTGTGTGTTGTGGGTCGTTAGCAGACAATAGGACAGATGCAGTTAATGCAAACACTCACTCTCTATTAATACAGAACTGCACATTATGTTCTCCATAACAGTAATGTTATCTGGCCTGTGTTTCACTGTTATTGGTGTAATTCTCAGGCGCTTGTATTATATAACTCACCTTTAGGGTGGAAATTCTGCAACATACATCAGTTATTTGAGGCCACACAAGCCGAACGCTTATCTGCGGGAGAACCGGCTCTGAAGCGTCGGCCCAGTGTGAACTCTGTGTACAGTCAAGCGCTTCCGTCATTATCAGTCACACTTTAAACAACCCTCAATATTACACCTGTCATCATGTCCCGACCACAGTCATGAACGACAGCTCCGGCTGCGCCAGTGACTGCATTACATTCAGGTCTAGATCCAAATCTAATGACTCCCTATCATAGTGTGTTTCATTTACAGGATAGAGAAGAAAAACTGGATATGATAGACTTTTATTTTCATTCAATTTTGTTTTTGTTACTTTATCTTTATTATAGTATTTCTTTCTTTCTTTCTTTTTAGTTCTTTTATTACTGGGATAAAACAGGATATCACACTTGGAGGAGGGTTTTTATTTTTTTTCCCGTTTCATTTTGTTTTTGTTAGTGTTTAAATCAAAATCGTTTCATTTCAGTTTTTATGTACATTTTTTAACCTTTTATGATGATCTTTTTTAACCTTGTATGACTTGTATGATGGTTTTTATTTTATTTCATTTTATTTTATCATGTTATTGTATGTTGTTTTATTTTATGCGGTTTGTATGTTAAACATAATTTCAGTTTCATGTTTAATTTTTTTAACCAGGATAAAAAAAAAACAGGATTTCAAAGACTTGTAGGAGTATTTTTAAAAAAAAAATTAAAATGTATTTATTTTTTAATTTAAATTTTTAATTTTTTTATTTTAGTGTTATGTTATTTATGTGCTGTTATTTTTGCAGTGAGTTGTAGTTTTCAGATGACGTGGTTTTCAATTTAATTTTATTTAATTTACATTAATTAAATTATCCAAATTAAATTATTTTATTTTATTTTATTTTATTTTATTTGACTATTTTATTTTATTTTGTGTTATGTTATTTTAGTGTTATGTTATTTTAGCAGTGAGTTGTAGTTTTCAGATGACGTGGGGTCAATGGTAAATGTTACTGGTGCCAAATTTGTATCTCATAATATTTTTGCAGAAAATGAAACTCGGTCAGTCTGTCGTCTCTCGGTGAGTTTTGGATCCAGCCTTCATGGGTCGATGCCTGACGTTTTACATATGCACAATAAAATCTCTCGTTTGCCCTTTTCGACATTACATAACTGAAAAGTGTTTGAGGCTCCAGTATGAAATATGTGTTCCTTCATGTCGGATCTGTAATAATTGCGGCGCTGTTTGATTGACAGGCCGAGGCCGAGTGGGGTTAGAGTTCACCGGGATCGAGTTGTTTGACGGATGAAGCGGTTCAGCCTTGAAGTGCTTTAGCTCTGTTTCACTGTGGAGTTTTACTGTCTCAGCGATCGACTGTTATGAAGTTACGGCTGAATCCTTGAGGCGTTTGCAGATCGAGGAAACACACAGCTGACGGCCTGTCATTTGCATCTCAGTAAATAGCAATCATTTATAAAGGTCACATTTTACGGCATGTGAAGATTCAAATACTTCCTCCATTTCTGAAATTTACTTAAACATATGCGTGTGAAATTTACTTAAAAATATGCGTGTGAAATTTACTTAAAAATATGCGTGTGAAATTTACTTAAAAATATGCGTGTGAAATTTACTTTAAAAATATGCGTGTGAAATTTACTTAAAAATGTGCGTGTGAAATTTACTTAAAAAATATGCGTGTGAAATTTACTTAAAAACATGTGTGTGAAATTTACTTAAAAACATGCGTGTGAAATTGACTTAAAAACATGCGTGTGAAATTTACTTAAAAATATGCGTGTAAAATTTACTTAAACATATGCGTGTGAAATTTACTTAAACATATGCGTGTGAAATTTACTTAAACATATGCGTGTGAAATTTACTTAAAAATATGTGTGTGAAATTTACTTAAATATTCGTGTGAAATTTACTTAAACATGCGTGTGAAATTTACTTAAACATATGCGTGTGAAATTTACTTAAAAATATGCGTGTAAAATGTACTTAAAAATATGCGTGTGAAATTTACTTAAACATATGCGTGTGAAATTTACTTAAACATATGCGTGTGAAATTTACTTAAACATATGCGTGTGAAATTTACTTAAAAATATGCGTGTAAAATGTACTTAAAAATATGCGTGTGAAATTTACTTAAATATGCGTGTGAAATTTACTTAAACATATGCGTGTGAAATTTACTTAAAAATATGCGTGTGAAATTTACTTAAAAATATGCGTGTGAAATTTACTTAAAAATATGCGTGTGAAATTTACTTTAAAAATATGCGTGTGAAATTTACTTAAAAATGTGCGTGTGAAATTTACTTAAAAAATATGCGTGTGAAATTTACTTAAAAACATGT